GCTCAGACGGGACCAGCAGACCTTCTAGAAACTTCAAGTTTGTTGTCATTTTTGAAAGTGCTGCCAATGCCCAGACATTTAGATGGAGGGACCAGAGGATGACCTCGGTTTAGAGGGCACATAAACAGGGAGCCCCAGGCGCCCTACGCTCTGCTGGGGCTGGCGTAGGCGCTGCGGGGACCAGCGGCCAGCACCCTGGGAACTGGCCCTGGCGGTCAGGATGAGACCCCACTCCTCCCGCCTCTTTGAGCTTTTCTCTGTCTACCCTTGCCCCGCGGAACTCCTGGGTCTCTCTGCAGTCCCCCTTGGCGTCTCTGGCCTAAAGTCCAGGAACTCAGGGGACCTGGCCTTTGGGACAGTGAGACCTTGGAGGCCCTCGCTGCAGCCTTCCTGGCAGCATCGCCAGCCCCTGCCTGAGGTGGGCGCCTGGGGACGCCGTCTGGGTGGGGTGGCTCTTCAGCCTCAGTGGGGCAGCCAGCTGGCCTCTCCCTGTCCCCTTCCACGGTGCTTCTCCCCTGAGGGCCTGGAACTCTCTGGAACCCTTTGCGGCCTGCGTAAGGGTTTGTGGATTCCCGCTTTCTGGCCTCCTGGAGCCCAGCTGGGGGCTGTCCTTGCTGATGCCCTGAGGCAGGGTCTGGGAGAGACCCCCTGAGGATGGTGGGAGGAGCCCTCTCTCTGTCTCCAAGAGGTCAGTGGGTGGACCAGTCTCACTTTCCTGTGGCAGGAGGAGAGCGGCTGTCCCCGGCCCGGGGAGTCTGCTCAGATGGGCCTCCGTGCCAGCCCCTGTCCCCTGGCCCAGCCTGGAAGACGTGAGGTTTCTGGTTCTGCTGGTGATGGCTGGTCTGTGGGTTCCTAGCTTTCCGGGCCGGGTCTCGCCCCTTCCTGGGGCAGGAAGCCGGCTCTAAGCAGGCTATGCGCCCTACTTTCCACGTGGGTGGCCAGTTTCCCTGTGCGGGCAGGCCAGGCCCCTGCCCTGTGTCCCTTAGAGACTGATATTATCTGTAGTAAAGCGGACAAGTTTTCCTGGCTCCACACCAGGCCTGGAGGGGCCATGTTCTCTGCTGTCCCCTGCCTGCTGTCCCCTGGAAGGCCAGGAATGGCGTTCTCTGGAAGTCAGCTGGGGCTTGGTTTTTCCCTTTGGCTCCGCATGAAGTGCCGACTTCCCTTGCCGTCGCTCCACTTGACTCCCGTGCAGAACCCCGTGTGTGCCACACCCAGCACGGGTGACCCCCACGTGGACCTCCCCGCCCTGGGTCCTGCTCCCAGCTTGTCCAGGGGCCCCCTGTCCAGGGATTCAGGCTCTGCATCTCGCTCCTTTCCCGGAGGCCCAGGGAGCCTAGAGGAACGTGGGTGGTGCGGAGAGTTGGGTGGGCAGGGGTCCCTGGCTTAGGTTAACTCTGTGTCACCTGAGCGGGGGCGGGGGACTGGGGCAAGGACAGCTGCAGGTTGGCAGTGGGGAGCTCGGAGCACTGGCCCCTCAGGAAGCCTTGGAAGAGCTACTCTGGTTTTTATTTCTGGACTAAAGAAGACCCTTGATCAAGGGTTGGGGGCTGGTGGTGGGAGGAGGGGCTTCGTTCACCCCGGGGCGGCCCCTTCCCCTCCCTGCTGGGTGACTGTCCCCACCTTCCTTCCTGGCCCAGGGGAACCAAGTCTTGGGGCAGCTGGGGGACAGGATGGGGACCCTGGTGAGGTCAAGCTCCTGCGCACAGCTGTCAGGAGCCCCGGAGCCAGCTGTGGGTGGCTGTGGCCTCCCTCTCCTCTGGTGTTCTCTGACCCAAGTCCCAGCCCTTCAGCTGCTCCCCCGTGGCTCACAGGAGCCTGCCCTGGCCCAGCCCACCCTAGGCAATCAGAACCACTTCCTTTGGTTGAGCACCTACTTTAGCCCTCCAGAGAGCCCAGCACTGGACGCAGGCAGCCCAGGTCCATGCCCCCTGCCTGTAGCCGGTGTCACCTGCTGCTGTGGCCTTCCGCTGGCCCTGCCTGGTGCCGCCCTCCGCTGGCTTGTCTTTGCTGGCTCCTGCTTGCCCCTGCAGGGGACAGCCAGGCTCCCAGGCCTGGGGTCTGGTGGGTGGCGTCTGCCTCCGACGGAGAGACCCATGTGGGTGCTCGGGGCTTCGTAGGCTCCCTGCTCTCAGAGGGCCTCGTGGGCCCCGAGGGCAGCGTGTGGCTCAGCTCGGGCTTCACTCTTGTCCACGCTGCAATGTGGGGTGAGTCCTCAGCCTCTCTCTGCCTCGGTCCCCATCTGTCAAATGGGGACAGAAGTGCATCCCTGTCTGTGGGTGGTCCTGAGGGTCCAGGCGGCCTGGGTGAGGACTCGGTAGTGCCCGTCAGAGATTCCGTGTGGCGAGTCCTTCTCAGGGGACAGTAAGGAGCAGGCCTGGCTCCTGCCCCAGGAGGGTGACCGTCAGCAGGGGGAGGGCCACGGCTGCTGCCGGGCTGCGGGCCAGGACCCGGGGCAGGGAGGTTCGCTGGGGGTGGCTGGGGTCTGCTCTGCCCCCGTGTGTCCTGTTGTGGGTGGGGGACACCAAGTGCGCGGAGCCAGGTTTCATTGTGAGTCTCCCGGGCCCTGCCGTGGGACCTGCTCTTTCTGAGGTGACACAGTTTTGGGACCCTGTGACCGGCACACCCCCTCTTTCCCAGCAGCGCGCGTCCTTCGGTCGGTGACTGCCCAGGGGGCTGAGCGGTGGTGGCTGAAGCTGGACATTGTCCTGGGGTGACTGGCAGGAAGGTGGGGGCAGGCTGGGGCTGCGGAGCAGAGCTGCTTCCGCTGAGTGTCGCGTGGGCTGCTTACAGGATTCCCAGAGCCGGGTGGTCTCCGTGAGGCAGGGAGCCCATGGGAGGGCGGGGTCCACACCTGGCTGCCCCCACCTCCAGCCTGGCTCGGCTAGAACCACCAGGAGTGGGGGGGACCGAAGTCTTTTTTTTTGCGGTTTTGGGGACGCAACCCAGGCCCTCGCCCATGGCAGGCAAGCGCCCCAGCCCATCCCAGCCCCAACAGTCTGCTTTTCACGAGCTCCTGAAATGATTGTGACCCCGGCTGTGAAGGTTGACCTGGATCCGGACTTCAGAGCTGCAGAGGAGTCCAGGGTGTGGGGTCCTAGCCTCACCGTGCCCCCTGGAAGGGGAGGATACTTGTCAGGGTGCCGATGGTTTCTGGGTGTGCGTTCGATCCGTCCCCCACCTTTGTTTTCTGCCTCGGCCTCCGATGCTTTTATAAGAAAAAAGCAACAAACGTTATTTTTAGAAGTTCATTGTCAGAAAAGTTACTCACCCAGACAAACCTCTCAGCTGGGCATGAGAGCTGAGGGGTGGGGGCCTGGACCGTGGAGAGCCAGGGTGCCCGAGACCCAGCTGGTTCTCTCCAGTTCCGGGTCGGGTTCTGGGTACCGTGATCCACCTTGGCTCCGTGGTGCAGGCTGTGGCAGGGCCTCTGTGGGCTCTGCTGCCCATGGCAGTTCTGTCCACAGGAATGTGGACTAGAGCCGGATCCGCCACCTTGACCCAGAAGGGTGAGCCTCTGGCCCTGCTGGTGCACTGCTGGCCAGACCCGTCCTGCTGTGCGCCATGTTTGGACCTGGTTGGTTCAGGATCAGGAGCGCACGGGAGCTGGTGTCGGGGTACCATGCCCAGGACAGAAGGGACCTTCAGCCCAGCTCTCCAGTCCTCTCCAGGAAGCAGAGGACAGAGAAGTCGTCTGCCTGGCTCCAGTGGAGCACAGGTGGCCTTGTGACTCCTCCACGCTATGCCCCATGGTGCCCCCGGTTCCAGCCAGTCCTCAGAGCTCCTGACTCTCCTGCTGGTGGAGGGAAGGGCCTGGCAGCCTGGGGGCTTCAGGGATGGGGCTTTGGAGGTGGTGATTGGCAGGCCTGGTGTCCCTGCTGCCGCAGGCACGTCACATCCTGGGGCTGAGGGTGCCTGGGTCAGCCGGAGGGCTCTCCGTACAGAGGGTGGAAGCTTGCTGTCCACTGCTCTTTCACAGGGCACAAGCACAATGAGGGGTCATCTGTGGATGGTGTGTGGCCTGGGACGGGCGCTTACCTGTCCATGGGAGCCGGGCAGGCAGGTAGCCAAGGCCTCCCTCCGTCCTGCCCCGCAGGCTGGCTCTGGGCCTTCCCTCTTGGAAAGAAAGCAAGTCCGAGGGAGGTCACTGAGCCGGGCCCCTCTGTGCTGCTGGGGACAGTGTCTTCTGCCTCAGGAGCATTTCCTCCACCCTCTGGTGGTGACAGCCGGGTGCTCAGAGGCTCAGAGAATAAACACAGAGAGAAGGGAGTGAACTGTTCGCCCCTCGGGTGGGGACCGGGTGTTGAGGGCCAGCAGAGGAGCAGAACCACTGTGTGAGATGTGGAAGGGTCTGGGGACAGCGGACCCACCTGCGAGGCTCCAGGGCATGGTAGCTTTGGGCAAGGTTCAGCAGAGGGGACACGGGCACACCCCCCCGGGGCTCTGACGGGCAGCCCCCCAGCCTCACCGGCTCTCGGCACCCCATCTTCCCTCGGGGTGTGCAGGGTCCCTCCAACCTCTGCTCCATCCTTTCTGTGTCTCCGTGTCTCCTGTCCTTAACAAGTGGAGGGACGCTTGTGACTGGGTTTGGAGCCCACCCAAACCCAGGATGGTCTCGTCTTGAGGTCCCTAAGCGCGTCTTCAAAGGCCCTGTTTCCCACTAAGGTCACTCAGGTGCCCATGGTAGGACTTGGACATGCATTTTAGGGCCACTGTTCCGTCTGTGGCAGCAGCTGATCTCGGGGGAGCAGAGTGTTCGGGGCTGGGGGAGCCCCAAAGCGGATTAGGAAATCAGGCCCCGACGTGCCACGTTGTGGGGCTTGGGTGACCACTGGCTGCCTGGCCTGCCTAACAGGGCCAGGTGGTCCTCCTCTCTCTGATCCTTTGATGGCTGCTGCCTGAGGCGGCAGCTGGTGCTGGTGGACCAAGGCCCTTCCCCCTGTCTACCTGCCCCCTGCAGAACCCTGCTTGGTCCAGGCCCAGGTCCCCACTGCTCTCCCTGGGAGAGTGTGGGAATGGGGCTGGGCACTCGTTGTCTCTGTGGGCAGATTCCTGCCACGTCCAGCCTCTGCCACTGCGGGGACATCCAGCCTCTGCCACTGCGGGGGACGTCCAGCCTCTGCCACTGCGGGGACATCCAGCCTCTGCCACTGCGGGGGACATCCAGCCTCTGCCACTGCGGGGGTACGGTCCAGACTCCCCTCCCAGCTCTGCCACAGGCCCAGAGCTCTGCCTCCCCTGCAGGCAGACACCCTCCCCGGTCCCTGCAGCTGCTCCTCACCTCTGGGCTCCTCCTTCCGGGCAGTCCCGGGGAGTCCAGGCTTCCCGCCTGGCCCAGAGCTCACCTGCTCTTTGCGGGTGTCTTTGGATGGCTTTGTGGGGTTTCCCAGAGCTGTGAGGGGAGCCAGGAGGGTCTCAGCAGGAGGAACCCCGGGCCTTGCCCAGCCCCCACCCCCGGGCCATTTGGCATGCCCAGGCTCTCCCTCCCTGGCAGCCCCTTCTGGACTCTTCTCAGTGTCCATCCGTGGCCTGTCCCACGCAGCCCTCCAACTCCTCCTTTGGGTTTCTGGGACCCCCTTCTTTGGCAACCCCCTCTAGTTTTTGAGGGTGGCAACCAAGCCCACCCAGCCCTCGAACTGTGACCGGTGAGGCTGGCTGGAAGGCGCAGGGCTGGGCGCTCACAGTTCTGTCCCCCTCCGCCGCGGCGTGGAGAGCCTGGGTCTGCTCACTGAGGGCTGGCCCTGCCCCTCCCCTGGCTCCCAGGCCGGCCGTCCTGGGCACTGCTCTGACCGGAGCCTGAACTCCGCTCCCCAGGGTCACCGTCCCCTGTAATTAGGTCGCAGCTCATACTGGCCTGGGCCTCCAGGCCACAACACAGAGCCATCTGGCCGTCGGTGCCCCTGGCTGGGTGATTGATGGAGGCCTCCACCTGGCCCGGGCCCCTGCTGTTAGGCCTTTTTTTCTTTTTTCCTTCATTTTTAAAGTGCTTTTAACATTTTCCCAGTAGCTGGTCAGGAGAAGAGGGAGGATGGCCTCCTTGCACATTAGGAGTGGCTGCCACCAGCCGTGACCAGTGACCAGGCTGGGAACAGAGGAGGAGGTCCTGCACACTTGGCCTGCACACTGGGCTGCGCACGGACCCCGCCTGGCGCTGTCCGGTGCTTGGGTGGAAAGGGGCCGAGGTCACCTTCCTCAGGGCCCGGGTCCTGGCTCCCTGGGCTGCAGAGGGGCCTGGGAAGTGGAAGCACTGGACTGCAGGGGGCTGGGAGGAGGACCGTGGCCGGACCCTGCTTGGGGCTCAGTTCTCTCTCCCCAGAGGACTGAGGGCCACAGGCAGGACCCTGGGCGGGTTTCTGGGCTGCCCGGAGGATGTGGGTGGATGAAAGCTCAGGAAACCTGCTCTCCCCTGGGACCTGGGACCTCGGTGGCCTCAGGACTCAGGCTGGAGTCCTGTGTTAGCCCTCCCTCTCTGAGGCTGGCCACACCCAGAGATCTTCACTTCTGCTCTGAGCTGCCCTCTCACCCAGCCGCCTCACCCGGAGCCAGGAAGTTCTTCGCCTTATCTACCCCACATCTGTCTTCTTGCTGCAGCTCCAGCCCACTTCCCTCCTCCCGATCCTGGGGAGATGGCCCGCAGCTGGCTTGAAAGGGGGAGGGCAGGACCCGTCCAGGCATTGCAGCCAGTTGTTCCAGATGTGCTCACGTTCCCCAATCTGTAATTTAGGAGAGAAGAAAGGGAGCCCTGCTTCTTAGAGCCCTGTTTACCCTCAGCCTGGAATGACCCCGAGGCTGCCAGATGGGGGAAGGGACTTGCAGGATCAGGAGCTGGGCTTGACTGTCGGGCGGGGTCTGTCCAGGCTGAAGGCCCTTCTCAGTTGGGGAGTCCTACCTGCCACAGGGGGATGACCACGTGACTTATGGCCCCCTGGGACACCTAGGAGGAGCTGTGACCATGTCGGCAGGGTGGCCACTGCGAGCCGGGAACTTCCCAGGTAGGGGTCACACATGGACACCTTGATGTGGGGGAGGGTTGGTGGCACCCGGAGCCCAGGCAGCAGAAGGGACCCAGGGGACGGAGGCTCCTCCTGCCAGGTGGCACGGGTGTCCCTTCTAAGCACCGTTGGATCAGAGGCAAAGAGTGGCTTCAGGCTGAACCCAAGGCCAAGAGGCTGAGCTGGATGGGGAGGGCCATGTGGGCGTGAGGCCCGCCCCTTCCTATTTCACTGCTTTCCTGTGGGGCTGCCCCGGAACCAGGGCCTCACAGGCACGGCCACCGAGCTGCACCCCCGTCCCCTTTCTTCTTTTTATTTTGGACACCAGGGATTGAGCTCAGGCACTCAGCCCTGAGCCCCCTCCCAGCCCTATTCTGCATTTCATTTAGAGGCGGGGTCTCACCCGCCTGCTCAGCACCTCGCCGTTGCTGAGCCTGGCTTCGAACTTGCCTCCAGAGTCGCTGGGATTTTATGCTGGTGTCACTGAGCCGACCCCTTGTCCCCATTTTCTCTTGGTGCCCGGGAGCCCATGGCTGTGGAGCCCAGAGTCCGACATCAAGGTGTCTTGGCGGGGTCTGTCCTAGGGGCCTGGGGAACCCTCTCTCTTCCACGCCTCTGCAGCCCCCCGTACGTGAGAGAGGTTCCCCGCTGATCCCCGCGTCTCCGTCTCAGATTCTCACCTTAATGGCACCTCGAGATCCTTTTCCAGCTAAGGTCACACTCCCAGGCCCCAGGAGTTAGCCCTGGGTGTCTCAGGGGCGGGACACGATTCCTCCCACTTCTGGCAAACCCAGGGTGGAGTCCCCTGTCCTTCAGACACTGTAGCAGATTTTGGAGGCAGTTGTAAGGGAATCTGCTGGAACTCCTGGTCCATCCTGGGTGGAGGAGGTGGTGTGGCCAGGCTGGGGAGGTGCTGTCCAGCCTGAGTCCTTGTTTCCCAGGTCATTAGAGTTTTATTCCAGGGACAAGTGACCATAATGAAGGGGTGGGGGTGTAGCTCAGGTAGAGCCCTTGCCCAGCATGCCCAAGGCCCAGTACTCCAAAAAAAAGCCAGAGATCTTATGTCTCAAGAGCAGTGTTGACCACAGCGGCCACTGGGCTGTCCACCTGTTTGTGTCCTGCCTTCAGGGACCCAGAGTTTCTGAGCCCAGTTTTTGGAAGGAAAGCTGGGGACCACCACGCCCCCCAGGCAGGCGGAGCTGAGGGGAGGGTCCCTTGCGCCGTGGGGGGGAAGGGAGCTGGCTTGTTTATTTCTTTTGGCCTCATCTGGGAGATCCAGCTGCAGGCACGTGACGTGGTGGACCTGCTTGTTCTCACATCGTCATTCCAGAGCCGCCAGGCCTCCCGGGTGGGGGCTGTGACAGGCAGGAAGGACTCCATGTCTTCCTGGCCCAAGGGTGCTGACCACAGAGAGGAAGAAGCCTCCTTCTAAAGTCCTTGGAGTAAATCAGAGAAGTGGACAGTACAGCCAGGGCTGAACGGCCTTCCCTGGTTCCTCTCCAGGAGCTGGACCCTCCTGGCAGAATCAGGGTTCGCCGTGACGCTACCTGTGCCCCTCCTAGGAGCAGATGGAGATGTCCGGGGGACACAGGCGGGGACCTCTGTGCCATCGTCCTGGCCTGAAGGCAGGCGTGGTCTGGTGAGAGGCAGGGAGCAGGGGTTCGTGGACCATGACCCCTGGTCTCCCCAGGTCCGATGTGCAGATAGGCCCAGGGTGCCCGAGCCCCGGGCCGCCATGCTGGCCTCCTGGTCCAGAGCCGGAGCCCCTTGCAGAATGGGTTGGCACTGGAGATGGCCACTTCTGGCCTCTGATGGCCCTGCCAAGCCTGGCTTTGGGGACGGCAAGGAGGGGGGCAGAGTGGGGATCCTGAGCTGTGGGTGCCGCCACCCTTGTTCTCCTTTACACCTCAGCAGGTTTGAGGTGTCGCTGGGACTCTTGGAGGAGGGAGCACCTCCGGTATGTGGGCTTGGCCCCCTGTCCTGCTCTGGTTACACAGTGTGACCCTCCCGGGGAGCCCAGGGTGTTTACTGCCCTCCCAAGCGGGCTCCACGGTGGCCAGCTTCAAGCCCTTCCTTGGGCTGTCCTGCTTCCTGAGCACCCCCCAGCACCCCATCTGCCTCCCCCTCTCTGTCTGCGGAGGCCTCCCTCCCTCCACCTGCCCGGCATCCACATTCCTCCTCCACCCAGCCGCCCAGGCCTCCTGGCGCAGATTGTGAGACCACGGTCCAAGCGGGAGGTGACCCCTGGGATCCCCGTGTGGGGATGAGAAGGGAGCACAGTGGAGCCCTGTGGGCAGCTGAGCTCAGCCCCCCTGGGGCCCAGGGCTGTCCCACCTGCGTGGGGGAGGGAGCTGGGTGCTGAGGGTCCCATCTGGGGCCAGGGCCCAGTGTTAAGTCCTTCCTGCCTTCTGCAGGGGTGGGCACCAGGCGGGTGCCAGGGAAGGCCCTGTGCAGAGAAGCAGAGTCAGGCCAGGTGAGGCCGGGTGGGTGTGGCCTCAGCCGCCCTGGTGGTGCACGAGTCAGCGTGCATGGCCTCCCGCGGCTCACGCTCAGCAGACGGCACTTGTGCCAGCCCAGCCATACTGCTGTGGGCCGCCCCGGCGCCCGTGCTCTCTTGCCCTGATAACCCGGATAGCACGTGACGTGACGCAGATGCCCGGACCTGCCTCTGCCCCCCCGTCTCACTGCCCACGTCCCCTGACACCCAAACCTCCAGACCAGGTCTTGGTTTTTGGGCTCATCCCTTCTTTGAAGTTCAGGCCACATGCTGAGGTGCTTCTTGGCCTTCGCTGCCTGTGGCTTTGCATCGATCGCCCAGGAGCTCGGGCAAGGGGGAGCAGGGGAGCCTCACAGTCAGGCAGCAAAGGCCGAGGCCCTGCCCGTTGCCCACCACCCTTGCAGGGCAGAGGTCAACTGAGGCTGCGGCCGTGTGCCCAGGACCTCCCTCCACATGCTTTAGCTGTGGGTGGGGTCCCTGTGGGCCAGGACAGCACACTGGGCCTTGTCTCCTGCTCCTGCTCTATGTCCTGGGGTCTCTGGTCAGGCCCTGGCTCCTGGGCAGCCAGTGTCTTCAGGGACAGACCTGCTGCGCTGCAGCAGGGGACTCTGACCAAGGCGGGTGTCCCAGAGCCTAGCGCAGAATTCCCGCTGCTCCCTCCTGTCTCTCCGCCCACCCCCTCCCGGGCACCGGGT